CCCTCTAGAGGATCCACCAATTCCCAAGTCTGATTTTTGTGGAGGGCATCAATCTCCTCCTTCATGGCATCTATCCATTCAGGGTATTTTAAGGCTTCGGCAACATTCTTGGGAACAGGGATGCATTCAACTGCCGATAGGAAGGCTCGGTACGAGGGAGAGATGTGGTCATAGGAAACAAAGTGGGTAATGGGGTGTTTGGTAGTGYAMGACCTGACTCCCTTTCGTTGAGCAATAGGGATGTCTAGGTCGTCCACAGTGGGAGTAGGGTTAGGGGTTGGACTTACCTCTTGGGATTCTGATGATGTCAGTTGCTCAGTGTTCGGCTGCTCCACATTTCTATCACACTGCTGATCTCTCCGATGAGTACGTTGGAAGACACGAAAGGGAGTGAGGTCCGGAATAGAAGGAAGAGACACCTGAACCTGCTTCTCCTCTTCCACACTACGGCTATCCCCCTGAGGAGGAAGGAAGAACGACTCAGACTCAAAGAAGGACACATCCATAGACAAAATATTTACGACTAATTGGGTCAAAACACCGATACCCCTTTTGAGAGGATGGGTACCCCAGGAAGACACAAGGAATGGACCGAGGGTCTAACTTACCTCTGGATGGAGACAAATCATGGACAAAGGCCCGACAACCAAAAACTAGGGCATGCGGTTGATGACATACGCAACTGTAAGTATAGCATCCACCCAAAACCTTTTTGGGACATTCATGTGTAACATCATCCCGTGGGCTACCTCAAGGAGGTGTCTGTTTTTTCTTTCTGCAACCCCATTTTGCTATGGTGTTCTGGCGCATGAGCTTCTATGAATAGACCCATGGGAGGCGAAGAACTCATTTAGCTCCCCACGGAAGTATTCCTTCGCATTATCAGATTGGAAGATCTGTATTTCAACATGGAATTGTGTAAACACCATCCTCTGAAAGTCTTTCACTATCTTTGGAACTTCGTATCTGCTACGCATAGGGATTACCCATGTATAGCGAGAGTAATCATCAATCAATGTAATAAAATACTTATATCCAYMCTCARAGATTACATTTGTAGGCCCCCATACATCAGAATACACAACATGAAAAGGAACATTTGATCTTTTATTGCTTGAATRAAAGGTTGTTCTACATTGTTTACTCAACTGACACGTTTGACACATGAACTTTGACACTGAACACGACTTAAATAAAAGTGGAAACAAACATTTTATTACTTTGAAAGAAACATGACCTAAATGACTGTGCCACAACAAAATTTGACTCTTATTTGACCGACTATGTGATTCTGAGGATGACACGGAGAGACCAACTTTGTTGTCGAGAATGTAGAGACCGTCCACCGGGCTTCCTCTACCAATCGTCCTCCCAGAAGTTAGGTCCTGAAATACACATGAGTCAGCAAAAAAGGTTACACTAAAGTTTAAAGAACTTGTAATGCTACTAATTGAAAGCAAATTTATGGGAAGTTAAGGGAGATGCAATACACAATTCAGGTTAAGGCCATGGGGAAGGGATATCGATCCTTGACTTGCAATGGAAGAAAAGGAACCATCTGCAAGTCTCACTCTGTCCCTTCCTGACAAAAGGCTATAAGAATGGAACAGGTTAGGTCCCTGAGTCAATAATCCAAGGGGAATCTGTGGGAGTGACATGGAATGCAGAAGCCACATTACCTGAAGTAGATGCAAAAGAGGTAGAGGGAGTACCAGTGACTGAGCTGTCCAATTGCCACAATGCCCTACCATAAGATTCCAGATGCTCTCTGAATGAATTCATTATATCC